GGTGTTGGATCGGTATTGGCCAATTCTTAGAATTTGGAATACTCTATGTAATCTTACACTGCAGCATAACTCAAAAAGATTAAAAGATAACATCATAATTATTTACTGAACCCTTAAAGTAATCAATTATATAATGAAAGCCATAAAAACAGACAATTAATCATGATAATCGGCGTAATCGTCAAAGCCCTAAAACAGACAATGATTTAGACAATTAATCGTCAGCCAAATTTCATAATCGTGACAGCCCTAGTTATAGGTTTAGTAATTTAGTTGTGTTTTGGTAATTGTTATTATTTTTTTCAAATGTCTTTTTATTTATTGTAAAAAAAAATATTTTAGTATTAGATATTTTAGTACTTCAAACTAACTTAAAAGAAAATTAAGTTATTCTTTCACGACTAGTTGAATTTATTTATTTATTTATTTTTTACTTTTTTATGTTTTATTTTATTTCATGTAACAAAAAAGTTATTTTTTCTTAAATAATTTTTTAGGTTAATTTAGGTAATGATAATAACCCTGCACAATATAACTATTTTTACTGTATTTTTGATCATATAAATGCAGCTTCAGTTAAAAAATGATAAAAAATTCTTCCCAACCTCAAACTTTTGAATGGTGTTTTTACACCCAAAACACTCCTAATTGAATTTAATTTCCATTTTACACCCTCTATCATAGAATTGGGTTTTGATGCAAGTTCTATTTGCAACTCAGAGGTAATGTGTTTTTATAGTAGATCAAAAGAAAATGTGACTGTTAAACATCACCAATCAGATGATAGCTTTGATCCATACTAGTCCATTTGGGAACACTTAATGATGATGGACAGCCAGCCGTGTGTGCTTTATCAGGACTCTGTATCGTGAAGCGCTGAAGACGATCTGCGGCCTCTTTCCCGTATGACTCATGCATGGCAGACAGCAGGCTTCCTCCGTGGGGTATGCTGGAGCGGTCCAGGCCTCTCGGCTGCGCACGTCTGTCTCTCCGTATCACGAAGATTCGCTCCACACTCAAACTAGTAGAGGTTGCGTGATCTCCAGCCGCCGGTTGGCCGCGTGGTTTACAGTAGATTGTGTGGTCTGCGTGATGCTGAGTCTGACCTTTGTCGCTGTGTTTGAAGTGATGTGCAAACAGCTTTAAATGTGCACTTTTAACTAGATCTGATCTGAGAACAGTGTGAGTTGAGCAGCAACTGTTTGACTGGATGGAAAAACAAATAGCACAAGCTTGTGTATTTTGTTCAAAAGATGTGAAATTAATTATGAAGGTTTTTCTATTTTTAAACACAAACATTATACATCCCATCCTGTGATGACAACTTAAATGCAAGCTGTTTTCAAGATAGTGGTGTCATTTTTGAACAATCCATCTATGAACAAAAGGCATAAAAGCAAGATTTATGTATTAGTTTTTTTTTTTTAAGAAATAAATACTTTAGTTCAGCAAGGATGTATTAAATTGTTCAAAAGTGACATTAAAGGCATTTATAATGTTATAAAAATCTATTGCAAATAAATTCTTTGAAAGTAATAAATTATTTTCTATTCATCAAAGTATCCTGAAAAAAATGTATCACAGTTTCCACAAAAAATGTGAAGCAGCACAACTGTTTTCTACATTGATAATAATAAGAAATGTTTCTTGAGCTCAAATCAGCATATTTGAATGATTTCTGAAGGATCATGTGACACTGAAGACTGGAGTAATGATGCTGAAAATTCAGCTTTGCATCACAGGAATAAATTACATTTTAACATATATTCAAATAGAAAACAGTTATTATAAATTGTAATAATATTTCATAATTTTACTATTAATTACTGTAGTTTTTGAACAATTAAATGTAGCTTTGGTGAGACTTCTTTCAAATACAACACTTTTAATGTCACTTTTTACAATGTGAATGCTAACTTGACCCCGTTTACTGTCTTTATAAATATTGTGCCAACTTACTATTTCATGTTTTTCTGTCAGACATTTCAGTGTGGTATATTTGCATCAGCGTGATTTTCTAACAGTCTGAATCTACTGCAGTGTTATTTAGTATTATTGATATACTGTTGTAGTTTTTGGTAATATATCAGATTAGATTTTATTTTTATATTGTCTGTTTGATTTTAATTTGAAAGTTTTAGTAATTTTGTTGTTTTTTTTCAAGTTTTTAATGGTCTGTATAGTTTTTATTAATTAGTTTTGGTTTTAGTTATAGTATTTAGTTTGAGTAATTTTAGTACTTCAAGTTAAACTAAATGAAAATAAGAAATGTTGCCTTTGCAAATAGCTGAAATAGTTTTTTTAATATTTTATTGTTTATTAGATTCTGTATGGTTTTGGTTTTAGTATTAGTTAACGGTAATATCTCTAAAATACTTGTTAATCTGGCATATGTTGGTTTCTTAACTTGTGGTTAACTAAAGTTCATGTGAAACTGAAAGGGCTAACATGGTTTCATAGTAACTAAACTTCCTCAAAGTTCATGAAATCCCACAAAAGAGTTGTGCAAACTTAAATCTTGAGGTTGGCATTTGTGGTAGTGCATTAGACTGGTTTGCATCGTATCTCACAAATAGGAGTTTTTTGGTGGAAATTGGTGAATTTTCATGAAGCTCAGTTCCCATCACTTGTGGGGTACCCCAGGGCTCTATTTTGGGTCCAATTTTATTCTCCCTGTATTTGCTCCCTCTTCGTTTTATATTTGAGTCTCATAAAGTTTAATACCACATTTATGCAGATGACACTCAGCTTTATTTTCCTCTAAAATCAGGTTGTGATTCAGTGTCCTACTTGCTGGCTTGTTTAGAGGACATCAAGAATTGGATGGAAAATAATTTCCTACAGTTGAATCAAAAAAAGACTGAAGTTAAATTGTTTGGCCCTTCTCACCTTTTACTTAATTTAAGACCTACTCTGGGCCCTTTTGAAGAAAATATCCGTGAAAAGGTAAAAAACTGGGAGTTATTTTTGATCCTGAATTGAAATTTGAAAAACAAATTAACTCTGTAGTCAGAGCCAGTTTTTTGCAGCTTAAGGAAGGGGCTTTGCAAGCTGAAAAGTTTTCTCAGTTTTAATGATTTAGAGGTTGTTATTCATGCATTCATTTCAACCAGGCTGGATTACTGTAACGCTCTTTACGCTGGAGCTTTACGTCTTCACTATCATGTTTACAATTGGTACAGAATGCTGCTGCTCACTTTTTGACAGGGACAAAAAAAGAGTGTTACTTACCCCTGTGTTAGTTTCACTTTACTGGTTACCTGTTAAATTCAGAGTTGATTTTAAGGTTTTAGTTTTTGTATTTAAAGCACTTCATGGTCTTGCCCCAATTTACATTTCAGATCTTCTCCATTTCTATTCTCCTATGAGAATGCTTAGATCGACTTCTCAGAAGTTATTGTCCCAAAATCTCGTTTAAAATCTAAAGGGAACAGAGCTTTTTCAGTTCTTGGTCCTACACTCTGGAACTCTTTGCCTTTATCCATCTTTTCATCTTTTTTCTCAGGCTTTTGCTTAACTTGAAAATACTTTTTTGTTTTGTTTCTTTTGTTTGGTGATGTTTTGCATTACTTATTGTATTATTTAATGATTTCAAATTTTATATTGTCTTAATGCTTTTGTTAGTTTATATTTCTGATGTTTTGGCTGTGCAGCACCTTGGTCAGCACTCGTTGCTTTTAAGGTGCTATATAAATAAACTTGACCTTGACCTATTAATTGGTTAAAAAAAGCTTTTTAACATTTAATTACTCCATCTGCAATTTCTCCATTACATGACGCTTAACATGGACCCAAATCTTTTCCCAGATCACCAGAAACTGGAACGGGAAGCCCGTATCTGCCGTCTGCTCAAGCATCCCAATATCGGTGAGTCCATTAAAGTCAGCTTCACAAATAAACCCGAACTTCTCCATTCATGATGAAATCAGTGTGAAATCCGTCATTCAGGACGCAGGTGGTTTGAATGAGCTGAAAGCATCTCGAGGGGCATTAATATAGAAAGCATGCCTGTTGATTTCAGCCCATGA